CAGACCTTATTAAACATCAGGCATTACACACAGGAGAGAAACCCCACGAGGCCTGAACTGTGGGAAAAGTTTTATACAAAGGTCACACCTTGTTCAACATCAGGCAATCCACAGAGGAGAGACTCCAGAGGTGCTTGGACTGCGGGAAAAGTTTCATACGGAGGTCTGACCTCATTAAACATGGAAGAATCCACACAGGATCTAAACTTCTGTGACACATGGCATGAAAGGGTTAAGCAACTTGTATGTAATTGACTCAGATTCAACTTTTAGAGAGAGATTTTAAAAATGTGTCCACCTTAGATAACCTAGAGTTTGAAATGTAAATGTGTATTTTTAAAGACTTGGAAGAAGAGGACACGTCATTTCTGAGTAACCTAATTGCCTTCTATGACGAGATAACTGGCTCTGTGGATGAAGGGAAAGCAGTGGATGTGTTATTCCTTGACTTTAGCAAAGCTTTTGATATGATCTCCTCCAGTATTCTTGCCAGCAAGTTAAAGAAGTATGGGCTGGATGAATGGACCATAAAGTGGATAGAAAGCCGGCTAGATCGTCGGGCTCAACGCGTAGTGATCAATGGCTCCATGTCTAGTTGGCAGCTGATATCAAGTGGAGTGCCCCAAAGGTCGGTCCTTGGGCCTGTTTTGTTCAGTATCTTCATTAATGATCTGGAGGATGACGTGAACTGCACCCTCAGCAAGTTTGCAGATGACACTAAGCTGGGAGGACTGGTAGATACGCTGGAGGGTAAGGATAGGATACAGAGTGATGTAGACAAATTAGAGGATTGGGCCAAAATAAATCTGATGAGGTTCAACAAGGACAAGTGGAGAGTCCTGCACTTAGGATGAAAGAATCCCATTCACTGCTACAGACTAGGGACCGAATGGCTAGGCAGCAGTTCTGCAGAAAAGGACCTAGGGGTTACAGTGGACGAGAAGCTGGATATAAGTCAACAGTGTGCCATTGTTGCCAAGAAGGCTAACGGCATTTTGGGCTGTATAAGTAGGGGCATTGCCAGCAGATCGAGGGACGTGATCGTTCCCCTCTATTGGACATTGGTGAGGCCTCATCTGGAGTACTGTGTTCAGGTTTGGGCCCCACACTACAAGAAGGATGTGGAAAAATTATGAGGAGAGCCTGAGGGATCTGGGGTTGTTTAGTCTACAGAAGAGAAGAAAGAGGGGGGATTTGGTAGCTGCTTTCAACTACCTGAAAGGGGGTTCCAAAGAGGATGGATCTAGACTGTTCTCAGTGGTACCAGATGATAGTTGTCTAAACTGCTCTCAAAAATCTCCAATGAAGGAGATTCCACAACCTCTCTAGGCAATTTATTCCAGTGTCTAACCACCCTGACATATAATAGTTTTCAAGTACCTAAAATGTTGCTAAGGAGGACGGAGAAAAATAATTCTCCTTAACCTCTAAGGATAGAACAAGAAGCAATGGACTTACATTTCAGCAAGGGAGGTTTAGGTTGGACATTAGGAAAATGTTCCTAACTGTCAGGGTGGTTAAACACTGGAATAAATTGCCTAGGGAGGTTGTGGAATCTCAATCTCTGGAGATATTTAAGAGTAGGTTAGATAAATGTCTATCAGGGATGGTCTAGACAGTCTTTGGTCCTGCCATGAGGGCAGGGGACTGGACTCGATGACCTCTCGAGGTCCCTTCCAGCCCTAGAATCTATGAATCTATTTATCTCAGACCATTTCTCCAGTTTGTCCAGATCATTTTGAATTTTCATCCTATTCTCCAAAGCTCTTGCAACCTCTCCCAGCTTGGTATCATCTGCAAACTTTATAAGTGTACTCTCTATGCTATTATCTAAATCATTGATGAAGACATTGGAAAGAACTGGACACAGAACTGATCCCTGCAGAACCCCAGTCGTTATGCCCTAAAGCATGACCATTGATAACTACTCTCTGGGAACGGTTATCCAACCAGTTGTTCACCCACCTTATAGTAGCTGTATTTTCCTTTCTTTTGTTTAGGGTAGATCAAAGTGATTGTTAAATGTATCTGAGTGTATTTGATGTTTAAACTTCCTGGCAACTGATGGGATGTTACTTGCATTGTTTTCACTTGTCTATATCCTGTTATAATGTAGTAGTGAATATTTCCATTGTGTATACCCCGTAACTAAATAACCCATCAAACGAGGAAGAAGCCTAGTGGAATGCAAATGAAGAACTTTAACAGAAACTTGTTATTTCAAAGCAAGTGGGCGTTGTGCCTGAGGATTGGAGATCAAAGACTCAAAATGCGTTCCTCACTCTCCATTATCAAAGGGAAAGCTCACGTGGGTAGTGACCCTGTCAGCCTGTTTTCTATGAGAGGAAGCCGTAAGTATGGATTCAGAGGAAGCTTGTTCATCTCCGGGCTGTTTGCACTCTTACAGGGAAATGTACCTGATACAAAGCTGTGACCCCCAGGGCCAATCTGGGTACCCTGAAAAGACTTTTGGGAAACTGGCATTTTATTACATCACTGCCACCCTTTGGAATTACAAACTGTGACTCACCTGTGCCTATATTTTACGTGCTCTAACCTCTCCATAGCTCTCACTTCCTTTTCTTAGCTAATGAACCTTTAGTTAATTTA